TGCGATTCTCAGTGATCAAGTGAGGATCTGATAGAAATCATAAATTAAATTATTTAATCCATAATAAGTTTCGTATAATAGAATATTAATTATTAATTAATAATGTTCCAAATTAAATATAATAGCCCTTCATAATCAGTGAGTGAGGGAAACTCATGCTCCCCGATAATGCTATGCTAAATCATATTATATGAGGTTAATTTAATAACAAGTATTCATTCCATTTATTTGACATATTTCCAGTGAACGGATCTCTATATATGAGTTCCTGCGATTAAAAATTTCGTTCGAATATCGGCAGTAACACGTCGGTAGTAACTTGACGATATAATGTTGGTTTCTTGACATGTTGTATAATGAATGTTTTAGGTGTAAGTTGTTTAACAATTCGAAACGGTCCTTCATAACGAATATCGAATTTATAACGGATGTTGAGTGTTTTACAAAGAACTAATTCTCCAATGTTGTACGTGGGATTTGAACGATTCATATCGTAACGTTGCTTGTATCGTTCTTGATTTTTTATAATATTAATTTTCGCTTGTTCATTTAATGTTGATAAGAATTGCTTTAATTTCTTCGAGTGTTCAGGATCATATGATAATGTAACATTGGTATCCTGATGGTCAAAAGGTAATACAGGCGATCGACCATACATCATTTCGAAAGGTATTTGTCTTGTTGACGAATGGATTGAAGTATTATAATTAAATGTTACGAATGGTAATTGATCATCCCAATCTGTTTTACGCAGATTTGATAAAGCTGCGATTTTTGCATCCATTGTCGAATTGTATCTCTCAACTTGACCATTGGTTTGCGGATGATAAGGCGTTGAATAAAGGTGTGTTGTTCCAATTTGTTTAACTAATTCATCCATCATTGTTGATGTGAAATGTGTTCCATTATCGGTGAGAATACATCGAGGCGTTCCAAATTTTGAAATAACATCTTCTTTAAGAAATCGAACAGCTGTGAGAGTCGTATTATCACGTACAGCTTTTGTAATAACGAATTTTGATAATATATCGGTAAGAGATATAATGTATTTATTTCCACGTTGAGTTGTTGGATTAATAGGTCCATGAAAATCCATCGATACTAATTGCCACACTCCATCAGGAGGTTGAATTGGTTTTAATGTACCAGGAGGTTTCTGTCGACGAGGATTAAATTGTGCACACGGAATACATGATTTAATATAATTATCAATATCTTTGTACATCGAAGGCCAAAAATAACGTTGTTTAATTTTTGGTATAGTTTTATCTCTTCCGAAATGAGCACCGTTGGCTGCACTATCATGATAAATATTTAGAATTATTTTTCGAAGATCACCCTGTGGTACATAAGGAACTGGAGGATTCGTACGACGCATTAACAGATTATCATTTATAATATAATGTTTGTATTTCTTGATTTTGTTCAGAATATTCTTTGCATAATTATCGTTTTGTTGAGCTTGTATTAATTGTTCGATTGAAATTGTAGTTATTCGATTCTCCCCAATTGGAGTATCTGGTGTTAATATTGTTGTATCATTTTTATCATTTGAAGTTAAATTTCGTAATTTCATAGCACGAGTTTGAACAGCTGCAACGACAGGTGAATGATTAATAATATCTAAAAAATCTGTTTGTGTTGATTTTGAAATAAGTAATGAAATTTCATCAGGATCTTCTTCAGCATCATCAACTGGAGATCTTGATAAATAATCCGGCATAGAATTTGTTAATCCAGGAATATATTTCACCTTGTAATCATATTCTAAAATTTTTAATCTCCATCGTTCACATCGTTTGTTAATTTGAGCTTTTTGATTTAATTGCGTTAATGCTTTGTGATCAGTTTCCCATGTAAATTTAATTCCACTTAAATAATTATGCCATTTATCTAATGCACAAATAAATGCATAACATTCTTGTTCCATAGGAGACCATTTACGTTGTGCTTGAGTAAATTTCTTTGACAGGTATGCAATAGGTCTATCTCCTTCTGGATAGATTTGTAATAATACTGCACCGATTCCCTCATCAGATGCATCAGTTTGTACTTTAAAAGGGAATCTGTTATTTGGAAGTCGTAATACCATATCTGTCGTAAGAATTTGTTTAAGTTGGTCGAATGCTTTTAATTCATCATTGGTTAATTTAATTAAAGTTTTTTGTCCTTTCTTTTGTTGGGTTCTTGTAGTTGGAACAAATTTCCGAAGTGGTTCTGCTATTTGAGAAAATTTTGGTATGAATTTCCTATAATATTCAGCTGCTTTAACAAATTTGCAAGCTTCATCTGCAGTTTGTGGTAATCTTGTATTTAATAAACCATTGATGTTATTAGGACTTGGACGAATTTCACCATTCTTTATATTATGTCCAAGATAATCTGTTTGTGTTTGAGCTATCTCACATTTTTCTGGATTAAGACGAAATCGAGCATTTTTTAATATTGTACAAATATCATTAAGATGTGATAAATGTTCTTCGAACGTTTTCGAATATATGATTACATCATCGATATAAGCTAACGCATATTTCCATCTTGCGGGTCCTAATATATGATTAATTACACGTTGAAATGTTGCGGGTCCGTTGGTAATACCTTGTGGAAGTACTGTAAATTGATAATGATTATCGCGAGTTGAAAAGGCAGTTTTCGGACGGTCCTCTTTAGAGAGAGGTACCTGGAAATAACCAGATTTAAAATCGAATTTGGTGTAATATACGGCATCAGATAATTGATCAAATATTTCATCGATTCGAGGAAGTGGAAATGCATCTTTAATTGTAACAGCATTTAGACGTCGATAATCAATACAAAATCGCATTGTTTTATCTTTCTTCTTAACAAGAACTATAGGTGACGACCACGGAGAAGTTGATTCTTCAATTTGACCACGTTCTAATAACTTTTGCGTTTCTTGAAATTTCATATCTTGATCTGTGTATGNGTTATACCGATTACTTTACTTTGTGTCGCTACTGTTAAAATCAACTGCTCGAAACCGGCGGTTAACCGCAGTTAACCGTCGGTTTTAACTAGAACCGGCGGTAACCGACGGTTTTTTTAACAACCGCGGTTAACCGTCGGTTTTTCAAAAAATAAGAAGACATGGGATATGACGCAGAATATTGTTTCGAATAAATTGGTGGATGATCACCAGTTCTAATCGCCGACTGTGATGGAATATTAATAATTGATGGTGTAGGATCAAATAATATTTTATTTCGCCATAATATATCTTGAATTGCTAAACGATGTTTTTCATTATCTATATGCTTGGTCGATTCGAGTATGTGCTTTCGAATCTGATCGGAATAACATTTTGCTCGCAAATGTTTCTGTAAATCATTCCCAGATAAAAAATATTCATTACATAAATCACAAGTAATACTTAATTTGGTTGAATTCGAGTTGTCTTTTCTGTTTAAGACAGCTCTGCTGTTAAAATTTTTTAAAGGTCAAGATGACCTTTGAAAATTTTCATGTAAAAAAGAATTTTGTGCTGTTGAAGATTCGGTTGTTGTAAATATTGAATATGTTGTCTCACGAGAAATAGTTCCGATTCGTGTATTTCTTGATAATATTTTTTGTCGATCGTGAGCATTCATAAGTAATACTTTGGCTTGATGTTTATTAATGTTCAATAATGTGTGTGGTATGAAAATAGATTTTGGAATATGATGTTCGTATGGTTCAAATATAAAATCATTAGCATCATTAACTGAACATGTAATATCAGCTAATACTTGTGAATATGGAGGAATAGTAATTTGATGAACTAATAGAGCTGGATAATTAGTGCATGTTGGTTCTACATATGGGATAAAATTTAATTGTCCATCTTGATCAGGAATAGTTAATTGATTCTGATTGTTACATAATGGATATGATAGATCATTATGTAAGACGAATACAGTTGTGTGTGTCTCTTCTAGTCTAACTGGAATAGGACATCTGCCCGGATAGCAGAAGATGTGTGGTTCGAATCCTGCGAAGAGAACACCTTTTTCGTTCTGTCACTGTAACATCTAGTCCTCTTTTGCCGTTGATGTAACTCTGATCGCCAAAGAGATGAACGTGATTCGAATTAATCCAATCATTGCCTAAAAGAATAGATGTAATTAAATTTGTCGCGACATGTGTAATGACATAAGTTGATACAGCTTTAATTTTTATTTCTAATTTAATGTGACCGATAATATAAGAGGTGTTGAATTCGCTGTTTGACATGCTCTGGCTTGGTAAATTAAATTATTGTGATGAATGATCTTAAGAAAATCTAAACGAATAATTGAGATGGCAGATCCTGCATCAATAATGGCTTCTGTTGGTTGATCATTAACACGAATCTTGATGTAAACGGGAAAAGATGTTATTGTTGATGGCTTAATATTTGACTGGGAACACCGCCATCGCGTGACCCAGTTACTGAAAACTTGGAGGCTTTGTACATTCGCGAACAGTATGATTTTGACCACAATTAAAACATCCGGTTGTTTGTTTATGAAAACAATCAATTGTTCGATGATTTTGTCGACTACATATTCTACAATGATTAAACAATGGCTGTGATAGTAACTGATTATTAATATAATTTTTTTGTTGCAATTCATGTTGGTGTGAATTATATTGCATATTTTTATTAGGTGTAAATGTTGATCGAGGTTCATATTGATAATTCGAGTTCCGTTTATAATCGGATCTCTGTGTTGTAAATGAATGTGAATGAGGATTCATTTTATTCATAAATTGATATTGTTGTTTTGGTCGTTCAATCATATTGGTCAATGAAGGAATTTGTCGATGATTGATTTCAAAATTAGGTTTTGTAGATTCTATTGATAGTCGATGAAAATTTTCAAATGTATCATTCAAATCTTGTTCGATTTTAGCGTATTTTAAAAATTCATTTAATGTATTCATGGTTGATTCACGCCGAGAAAGTTCTTTCTGAAATTCAGGATGAATTCCACTCATTAAATGTTTTATCATCATTAGTTCTGACATCTGTGGATCAATTTCTTTACATAAATTAACAATATCATCAAAATAAGATGTAACGGGTTCATCATGTAATTGTTTTCGTTGTTTCAATAAATCGAATTTTTTATGAATCATTGTTGACGAGAAATAACGATTTCGAAATGCAAGTTCAAAATCTGACCATTTTTTAAAATCCTGTTCATGATTATCGAACCATAAACCTGCCGATTGAATTAATTTTCCGCGAACGATTTCGAGAATTTCGTGATTTTCTGATTGATCGTTAGCCTTTGTAATATGTTTAATGCTTTTTAAAAAACGTTCGACATCCTCAGAAGAATGTCCAGAAAAATTTGGTAGATCATCGAATCTAGCTTTCCGCGCTTTAACTAATAATGTTGTATCAGTCATTTGATTCATATTCGAAGATGATATCGAATTTATTGAAGGATTCTTTCTAGATATTGTACGAGATAATGAATTTGTAATTATTGTGTACGGTAATAGCTTTGTATTATTTTTCTTGATTTGTGATCTTGTTCCCGTAGCCGTTATGATTATATTATATGAGAAATGATTATTGTTAATGTAATTGGATCAGTGTATGAATCGATATAATGCAAAAATATGAACGAAATTCTTCTTAGAATCTCTGTCTACAATTGTCTATCCCAAGAAAGTTATTTGATTTATTTTACGTTGATTTTTCCTTTTCTCAATATAGAATTTGATATCCAAAAACAATTTTGCAATGTTAGTTTCTTGTTTGAAAATTTTACGGTTTACTCAAAAGTAGTCCTTAAATGAATAATTTCATTGCTTAGAAAAGGTTTTCTCACCTATAAATAAATTACAATGTTTAATATCAGCTAATAATTTTATTTGTTCAAAGAGAAAAATTCAAGTCTCTATATGCAGAGCCTTTTATATGAATATATGAACGAGTTTCTTTTCCCGAGAGGCTCTATTTGTTTTGAATTATAACTTGATGGAATTAAGTAACGATTGATTCTTGCTGGATGTTGTTGAATTTTTTTTATTATTATTGCTTGATGTTGTTTTCAGGGTCGCCAAATGTTAGTGTGAGATAAATGTGAGAGAAGTATGTGTGTACGTACAACGGGTACGTTAACTTTATTTAACAAGGATGTCCTTTATTCGATATTACATGAAATATATAGCGAGAACGACAAGAGAAGAGAGAAGAGAAAAGAGAAAAGACAAATGAAGATTAAAGAAGATGATAGAGAATAACACATATATGTCGAGTGTGTATACTAGCAGCATCACTGTAACACTAAGAATGAGAAGGAATGGGTTTTTCAGCATAAGCAATAGAGAACGTCAAAAAAAACCTTGTGGAAGAACTAATTGTGGTGTGAATGTGGTTGTTTCAACAACTTTTGGTTGATTTTGGCCTATAATATTTGTAAATGTAAAACTTGATGAACATGTGAGAGAATGCTTATACCTTGTAGCCATTGTTGAGTTTGGTAACCTATTTAAAAAGAATGTGAATTGTTTTACGAAAAACCAAACACACCATGCCATGATTGTATTGGTCTTTGATAATGTTGAAAACCTAATTAATAGATCATATTGATAGACGATTTCTTGGACGTATAAAACTAACCTTGTGAAAAAGAAAATCTATCTGTTGGTGTAGGTGTTGAGGGGTATCTATCTATAAAAATTCAATCGAGTGTATAGGTTGAAATTATACGAGAGAAAGTTCATACATCCAAATATTGGTTGATTTTGATAATTGTGATATGCTGATAAACACGAAAAAGTATGAGATCGTTCTCTTCTAAAGAAAAAACTTACGCTGCCATGACTGTGCTTGCGTAGGATAATATTGATATGTGGGTTGTATTGGTTCTGGAATTGGATCTAATACAGAAATTTTTTTATTTTGAATAAGGATTATTTAAGTTACGTACCTAAGAATATTTCCGTTGGATAAACTGGTTTGACATATGGAATATCTAACTAAGTAATTGTTTTTGTAGATTAGATGGTAATAGAAAGAGCTAGTGCATACCGTCTTCGTCAATCTGTGATGAATCAGTAGTAGAAGTTACAACCGATTCTTCAGTTGACGCTAAAACTGATTCCTCAGTTGAAGGTAAAATTGATTCATCAGTGGAAGATAAAATTGATTCCTCAGTGAAAGGTAAAATTGATTCCTCAGTGGAAGGTAAAATTGATTCCTCAGTGAAAGGTAAAATTGATTCCTCAATTGAAGGTAAAACTGATGCTTCAGTTGAAGTTGATGTTGATTGTTCTTCAGCTATAATTAAAAGTACGAGTAATTTTAATCGCAATATAAATCGAACTCTTTTTGACGATCAGAAAGAGTAAGTTGATTTAAATGAAAAGCATACTAGTCGCTGGTGGTAATGATTGGTTTACTGTTGATAGAGTAGGCACTGGTTCTATTATCGTATTTTCCGTTGTTTGAATTGTTTCGACAGATTCTACTGTTGGTTCTATGTAAAAAAAATCATTAATTTTAAATAGGAAATTTAAGGGAAAATATACCTGACTGTTGTTGTTTTTCTTTTTCCTTTTCAGCTGCAAAATCTATGGAAAAAAAGTATTAAAGAGATTAATAAATTATTATTGAGTTGATTATTCATACTCGATAGTAATTCTTCTCTATTTGCTACTCTTGCAGGTATAAACGTTGTAGTTTCATCATTTTCTTTTCTATTAAAAACATAAATTTAAGAATAAAAGTTCCTATTAAAAAATACATCGAAATTATTTTCATACTTATTCTGTTCAACTGCCATAATTGTTGTAATAATTTTTTCTTCTTTGATCTTCTCTACGTGTTTTCCTTGATGACCCTTATGGTTCGTTGTTATTAATTTTGTTGCTGATGTTGGTGCAAAATGTTTTGTTGGTCGTTTACGATCGCAAACCATTTCTTCTTGATTCCAAAAAAGTAATGAACTACATCTTTGAAAATGAAGAAGTTCTCCATGACACTGAACATAGGCACGTTGGCTAAATACGAATGGAAAAAATTGGTCATCACTTGTTAAACATGGATTAGGCACAACTAAGACGAAATAAATTTATTTTAAAATAATAAAAATTAATAAAATTCATATACCTTCGTGACAACTAAGACCATAGGTTGTAGAACTATGGCAAATACACACATAATCTTGATCATAATCAATAGTTTTTAGTATGCGACAGTGAGCATTTGGGCCACAAGGTTTTTTCACACATGAATTCTTCGGTGTTTCACATCGTTCACCAGTCCAATCTGGATGGCATGAACATTTAACTTCTGAATCCTCTAATGGTATACATTGACCATTGTTTAAACATGGATTGTTTTCTTCACATTTATTAATCTTTGGAACAACAACAGTACATGTATCTGTATCTTCATCATATTCACCACCATTGGGACATGGTACAATTTCATAATGAAATTCATCACGACATTGAACATATTTTGTACTATCTTTTAAATATGCAAATCTTTTTGATGGACGAGTACTAGTGCCAGCACATGGAGGTCTTACTAAAGAAGAGAAATCAAAATGAAATTGATAGTTGGAGCAAAAAAATAACAGAAATTAATACGAACAAATTTCCATTGATGATAACTGATCTTGATCCAATGAAATATAATCTCTAAAAAATGAAAAAAGAATAAAGCATAGAAGAGAAAATATTTACTAACGCTTCCGTTGTGGTGGTTATTAATTCTTCAGTTTGAGCTTCTTCGATGGTAAGACGTTCATCTGTTGAATCATCATTTTCTACTTGTTTTATTGTATTTGTAGTACCTAGATGATTAAAGGAAAATCTTTCAAATGAGAAATTTTCTTAATAATTACCTATATCACTAGTTTCACCGTTTACATAAATAATAATAAATACAAGTAACCCAAATCTGAGTGAAAACTATAAAATACAAAACAAAAATAAAAGATAAAAAATATTAAATTAAATCACAAGACGAACCAGCATGATTATCGCACGGCAGATCGAAGAATAAAATCAATAGAATCGACCACGAACAATCGATAAAGTGAACTTGAAACGGTAAATGTAAACATCGTTCTTATCGTATATATATATATACGACGAATAGAAAACATAGAAATAAAGATGTACCTCGATTTTCATTATTTAAATTCTTTGTAATGCACTTGTTATTTATCATCATCATCGTTCTAGAAGAACAAATAAAGAAAAACACATATAGAATATATCTAAACATCATAATTCAGTCTCGCGATTACGAATATTTATATATTGTAGGAAACATGAATTTTTACAAATAACCGACACTTAAAATAACATAATTTCTGTTTTGACTTTAATCATTCCGAAGTTCGATTATTAATCTTTTTATCGGCTGTTATGAATCTGTCATAAATGATCATTTTCAAGTGACTCAAAAAGTGTATCATTATTTAGTGTACGTTAAAAATGATTAGAAAGGCCTTGCCCTGCGACGTCATTTAATTTTCATTTTGAATATCTATTCATTCGACCGTGACACTTGCTATTCATGTTCTCGGTTTTGTTCAACCTTATATAACATACAAATATAATAAAGATAAAATAAGCAATATAAAGTTGACCAAATGTTTTATACAATTGAAAATTTGTATATTCAACCAACTAATAATAATAATAATAATAATAATAATCATATTTTATTGAATTTGATACCATCGCAACCATCGATTATTTATGTGCAAAGACCTATATTAACATATACATATACTCAACCGTATCAAACTAAATATATTCTTCCAATAAAAACAATAAATCAACAAACAAATGAAATAAAACCTCATGCCAATGAATTAGTACAAAAAGAGAGAATAAAATCTCCAATAAAAAGATCTCTCACGCCACCATTGTCATCCGAAGAACAATTAGATTTAAATCTTTCACGTTTTGGTTATCGACGACAATTAGTTGATGGTGATGGAAACTGTTTTTTTACCGCTATTGCTAGTCAATTAATAATATTATTTAATCAAGATCGTTATTTTCGTATAGCCATAAAAAGACGTTTAAATTTTCCAGAGAATTTATTTACGAATGTAACAAGATTAGCACATGCATTACGTAAATTAGTTTGTTTAGAATGGAAATTAAATCCGACAAAATATAAACCATATATAAACGATGTCAATTATTATGATGAAATACGAAAATTTCGTTCAGATAAATTTTATTCATCAACTCTAGGTGATATATTACCGTTAACAATCAGTAATTTAATTGGAACCAATCTTAAGATAATAACCAGTCTTAGTCAATGTCCAATACTTGAAGTATGTCCGCAAGATGAACCGTTAACATCAATTAAATCTTTGCCTATATTAACATTAGCGTATAATCAAGAAAATGATGGGCACTATGATATTGCAGTAGAAAAAGAATTCTAGAAGTGATTGTTTAAAAAAATGTTTCGAATTCATTTCCTTTTTTTCCTTTTATGGACTGATTGAATCTGTTTTTCAAGAGATATAAATCAATATTCTATATTAATTATTCATACCATCAATTGACTTTTCTATAGATATTATAATTTTTTCCGTCAAACTTGTATGCATCGCAAATACTGTTCTATAGAAGACGCTCACAGTTAAAACTATATGTAGAAAAGTTTGATTTTAATTTGTATAAAAATTATATTAGAATTGATAAGAAAAAAAAGCGAGTGTGCATATTAACATCCGATTCATTCAAATTGAATGTCTACTGTTATTTAGAATAGAGGAATAACCTTTGGAGAAAAAAAGTTAAACTATCAGCGCATTTTTGATACCAGATATCTTTGTTTTTTTTTCTAGTATTTGTAAAAACCAATTATAATATTCTAGCTATGAGAACACGTGCGGAAAAAAACATCTATCTATACGTATATAAATAGTTTTATTTCTACCGATGAATTTTTCAATTCACATGGGCGCTGAATACAGTCAACCACCACGCATTCCTGCATTAACTAGTTTTATATCGGAAGCATTTTATGATCAACGAAGACCTCCTCGAATACGTTGTGTTAAATGTTTAGGCCATGGGAGATTGTTTGTTGAATCCGAATGTAATTCATGTCGATCAAGTTGGTCGAATCATACATCATGTTATACATGCGACGGTTATGGTCATCAAACAACTTATGAATTATGTGATGATTGTTTTGGACGTGGCATTAAATGAGCAATACAACAAAAAGAGACATATAAACACTACTATCCTTTTTATTTTTTGAATTAGAGAAGAAGAAGAAAAAAAAACGAAGAAGTTTCATATAAAGAATTAATTTTGTTTCGATCGAGATTTATTTTCAGTGGTAGCCGGTGGCATTGGTACTGTTGCTGTTGTTGGTACTGGTACTGGTGGTGGAGGTGGAACATCAGTTGTTCGTAATGGTGTTGCTTCTTTTTCTGTGTTTGACGTACTTGGTGATTTTGATGATCTTACTGATTTTTGTTTGGTCTGTGATGGTGGCGTCGATTCTTTATCTTTTGTTGAGCTAACGGGCGAATTTGACGATCGTTGTTTGGTTTGTGATGGTGGCGTCGAATCTTTATCTTTCGTTAGATTGTTTGGCGATTTCGAATCTTTATCTTTCGTTAGATTGTTTGGTGATTTCGATGATCTTACAGATCGTTTTTTCGCTTGCGAAAGTGTTGTAAGTTCTTTATCTTTGATTGAATTATTCGGTGAATTTGATGATCGTATGGATCGTTGTTTACTTTGTCGAAGTGATGTTGATTCTTTTTCTTTCTTTGAAATACTAGGTGAATTTGATTGTCTCACTTCTTGATGTTTCTTTGGTGTAACTGGCGTTGGCTCTTTTGAATGATGTCCATGATGATGATGATGATGGTGATGATGGTGATGATGGCGACGATTAAGAGCTTCTTGTTGTTCGTGTGATTGATGTCGATGTTGATGAGATGTTCCATTTTGTATTGGTGACTTTGTTCTGTTACGTTGTGGTAGTGTAACTGTTTGATCCTGACTTTTATTTTCATTATTATTATTTTTTGCATTAAGATAATTAATTAATCGCGGATGCTTTTCTAAACGTCGACGTGTATCTTTCAAACGAGAATAATTATCAAGAATTTTTTTATCCACTTTAATTAAATAATTTATCGTATCATAGACAAGTAAATCTGCTAATGACGGATGTGAACCTAAATAAAATGGGCCAGGACGATTAAATATTTCATAGTATTTTTCCAATTGTTTTAAATATGTTGGTGAATGATCTGCTATAATTTGGCGTAATTTTTGTTCAAAATCAGTAGAGTCATCCTTATTTTGATCGAAGATTTTTTCTCGAAATTCACGCACTGTTTCATGAACCATATCAATAATAACATGATCACCTTGGCCCATACCATTTAAATGAAATTCTCGTGCTAGATATCGTATAATAGTATTTATTTGAAAAATTTTAAATTGATTATTTGTTCGTAATATTGGCAAGTTTTCAAATTGCATTTGCTCTTTGACTTTATTCCATTCGTCCTGTTGATAACGCTTATTCTTATAAGTGACACCAACAAATGAAAATATAAGTCGAACTATTTCATTGTCATTATTTTTATCTAAATCATAGAATTTAAATAAAAGAAGCTTGGGAGTATTTTCATGATTTTGTTGATTTATTAAACGTTGTTGAGAATTTTGATACGCTTGTTGACCTTGTTGAAATGGTAGATTATAATACGATGGAACAGCCGGAGGAGTTACTACGTTAAAATTACTCCTAATTCCATTTAAAGGCGTTGATGTATACGGCGATGGATAAAAGCCGCCACCGTTGTTGTTCATCATTATACTTAAAATAATGTATGTTAGTTAGGCGAAGGTTTGCAAGTGACTCGAGCGATATTGATGATGTAAGGGTTAGTAACCAAAATGAATGAACGAAACAAACTATTACTAAATCAATGAACCGTCGCTTCTTCCTCCTCTTCTTCTTCTTCTTCTTTTGTATATATTGCTCATTCGATAGATAGGCGACTTTGGCCGGTCGAATATACATGTAAAATTAAGAATGGTCCTGAACACGATTGCGATTGGCAAGGAAAAAGAATGCCTATAAAAATAGTCACAATTATGTATATCTTCAATGCTGATCTATCATTAACCATGAATTTCAAAGGCAATGATCATTAAAAGTGTTTCTTTTCTTCTCTTTCTCTTGAGATGAAATTTCATTGAACTTCAACATCAATTCTGAGTCATGTAAACTAGTTCTGTTCGTTTATCAAAACGAAATGAATTTTTCATGAATAAATGGTTTCAAGAAAAACAAGATCTTCTATTTGGACTTTTAATCAAATCAAGCGTTACAAATAAAAAGAATTCAGCATGAGAAAAGCAAACACACGAGAATTAAAATAATGTTCAATGTATTCGCGCAAGTTCTTCAATTATTTTGACTAGCTCTTCAACAGATGTATTCAATTGAACATTATTTTCTCCCTAAATTTTAAACCAAAATTTTAAAATCAATAAATTTTAAAAAAACATACATGTAGCTCTTTGATAAGCTCCTGTTGCACAGTTTTTGGTAAATCAAGATATGTTTCAATAAGATCACCGTCCACAAAACCACATGAAACGTCCGAACGCTCATCAGATTCAAATGAACGCCATGTACCATGTTCAATTTTGCCAACACTTGGTACATATTTAGCTAGTACTAATTGTAATGACATAAGTAATTGATATAATGGTGGTGGGAGTTGAAGAAGAAGTCCAATATAGCCAGATATAGCACCCATTAGAATACATGTATCAATAGCAATAGACGATTCAGCTGCATGTTGTGTCACAAGGGAACCTAGAATAAATATTTCATAGTTTTGTACATTTTAATCAAGTTCAGAAATATTCCAAAAATAAATGAATTCATTATGATTTGCTTTTAAAAGGAAAACAGAATGTGGTGTTTTCAGGAAGGACAGGAAATTTCGCATCTCAAAAGAACCCCATATATGTCAAACTTGAAACTTGAATTCAATTGAAAATTGAAATTTTCAACTTTCAACTTTTAAACCAATAGCATTTTGAAGAATCATGACTCACGCATATATCGCTATCAGTCGAAAGTTGAAAATTTCAGTTTTCAATTGAATTCAAGTTTCGAGTTTGACACTACTGTTGAATGAAGGATCTCAGTTAGCTTTTTTGTTTCTTGTTTATAGAATATCGCTCGCTCTCGTGAACGCCATGTGATTTGAATAAACCTGACTCAAGGTTTTATTTTTAAGAGAGCAAAACTTTTCAAATAATAGAAAATGAAATTTACCTCGTCGAAATAGATTAATTTCTTCTCCTAAATGATATAGTCCAAGTTCATTTAAAATATTTCTTTCTTGTTCTTTTGTTGAGCCACTATTTTTATGACATGAAACTAAATTACCGCCGTCTTCTGCGCATAGAAATGTATCATCATCAATGAATTCACATGCTTTTGTCCATTGTGGACGAGGATCATTTGCAATCTAAACACATTATAATTTAGAATAAAATACGTCTATTAGAGATTTTTACATTTTCAAATTTCTTTTCGTCAGCATTATAACGAAGTACTGTTAATGATTTCATTAAATCACCGAATAGAATAAAATCATCTTTAACTTTTAATTGTAAACATTCGACATAATCCACAGATGTTTTTGCTAATTGTATTAATTCATGATTTTCCAACGAAAACTTATACAATCGAACCTAAATTTATATTCAAAAGGGAATACATAAAAATAAAGGAGAATAGTCTTCAATTTTATTTTCTTACAGAATTACCAATTGCAACAAGTAATTTGCCTTGAAATGGTAACATTCGAAACGGTGGACCATTGACTTCTTTTTCTGAAATCATAGTTATTTGACCATTCATATAACGAAATAAAACTATTCGACCAGATCTTGGCGTATCTTCATCGTCTAATACAATTGTTGTACCAACGGCAATATAGGGCGTTGTAGGATCTTCAGTAAATGTTATCACACATAGACTAGTTGCTGCTTCACTATTTAATAGTTTTACAGATGCATGTGCTAAAAGTAGTCGAAAAATGGATTGACTCATTTTGGGAGAAAGTTAAATTGAAATATAGTTATCGAAAGTATTGCTTGAGAACAATGAAACGCTGCGTATCTATTTGAATCAGTTTGTCTGAAAACTTATTCTTATTCAGTTGAACTTTTGTTGTAACTCATTAGAAATGCTCGATTAGAGACATCATAACTAGTAACAGTACATCGTCAGTGATATCTCAACTGTTTCTGTATTATCTTTCGAAAGAATTAGACGAAAGAAATTTTGTCCTTAAATAGATACAGGACCCCGTGGTTCCCGATAATGGTTGCATTCTACAAATGCGTTTTAGCTGAATTTTTAATACTAACAGTACAGCAATATTCTGTTAGTAATCTTAATTTCACATAATAAATGTTCACCTTCATGTGTATGTTGATCAAGTATAACAATCGAGTCAAACATGTCGTCGAGCTGTTGTTGTGTTACGTCTTTAATTTTTTCTATTGTAGTTTTACAATCTATTCTTTGATATGCTTGTTGACTAATAGGTACACTACTATCATTTTTATAAGTATCCATATAATGTGTTAAAATAATATAAATTTTTTCTTCGTCTAAATAATCGATACGTTGCACCGCTTCACCTAAGCCCAATGAACGTACATGTAACTTTTGTATATCATCAATTCGACCTAATATGACGCCCATATCAGTAACTAATGTTAAGCTTGGCCCATAATATTCTGAATTAAATGAACACATACAAACAATTTCACGTAGATTTACAGATGAAAAAACAAGTTTATTATTTGATGATGATATGACCGATGGATGATCACTGCAAGCAAATAGAACGGTACGTGATATAGATGTATTATTTGATGTTGAAGATAAATCTGTATGCTGACAGATGGTTAGTGTTGTAGGTTTTGTACCTAATGGAACTTTTTTTCGTTCATATAATAAGCCCTGTTCAACATCGAGTAAAAAATAAACAATAGGACCATCAGCTAATGAAACAAAAACATAGGGCTGTGAATCGAATGTTATCATTACAACCGATCGCGGTAATGTATCTATAAAAAAAAAGAATAATTGCAAATTTTGATTCCAATTTTTAACTACCCGATGTTAATGATTCTTGATGTAGAATATCCAGTGTTGGTAATCGACATACCCAAACAGATATTTGTGTCCAAAGGCCAATAACACAAAGATTACTTCGTTCATCTCGCGAATTTATTGGTGTCACATCCAAACAAGCGATATTATATGGCAATTGACATTTACTAAAAACCACAACCCATAAAATTAATTTACTCTGTGTTATTTTTAATTTACCTGATTTCTTGTAAACTTGCAGGACCAATTTCAAAATAGAATAATTGATTTCCACTAGCGCATACACATTGTGTTGTATTTGATGAAGCAACTGTGATTTCATTATTTTCATTTCTCCATTCGACAAATAAATTTTGACCATTATTACCGATTAGACGTATTGAATAGGTTGTTATCTAATTACAGAAATGTAAATCTTTATTTTCTAGATGAAATAAACGTTTACTTGTATATATTGATTAGATGTAACATTAGTACAAAATAATGTTTGATGTTGAAAATCGAATGCTGGTAATTCGATTTCCTCAATTTCATCATTTTGCAAATGAAATAATCTAATAATAGAAATTAAAAGATCGAGCAAGATTAAAGAAAACAATCAACCTTGTTTGGTCGAAAAATGCCACAACAAGATGATTATCAAATTGATTATCGATTTTCAATGCCCAAATTCCTAGAAAATTAAAAAAAAAGTATTAGTAGAATTTTTGCTCGTGGAAAAATAAAACGTATGTTAATAGCAAAAAATAGCTATCACGTTTAGAAATCAAAATGAACCTTTTATATTTCGTAAATCAATGGATGCATGTTCATGAATGCCAATACCAGTTCGAATGAAGCGCAATGATGAATCTTTTGAATTTCCTGAACATGTTACTAACTAAAGAGAAAATGAGTTTTGTTTCAATGCTACACAAGAGAATTATTTCTAAGCAAACTTGTCGATCTTGTCGCAATAGATCAATAAGGCACATATCAAGAATAGGTCCAAGATTTGTATATGATTCAAGCATTTCTAAATGACTACCATTTTGTGGCTCCGACAGAAGCTAAATTTAAATTAGAGGAAAACAAATTTTACGATAAAAATGAAATTGTGAATTTTATAATGTACTCGAATAAGTTGACCATCACCAAAATAGGATCCAATAAAAGCAACACTGTTATCTAAATAAACTATATATTGACTAATTGATGTTTCGCCAAGAAGATTTAACTATAAATAAATGACTGAATATGAGATTTCTCTCTCGTTTGAATATTACTTTCATGTCAGTTATTGTTATCGTTGAGTTTTCATCTTGTGTATTGCCTTCGAGAATAAGTACATAGAGTCTACCCCTATCATCACTGATTAAATATCGACGATCATCATCAATCGGACAATAACTTATTAAAGATGTTGTTTCCTGAAATTAAAAAAAAACAAAAACAAATGAATAACCCCGTCGACAATTCACGAATCTAGCATTACCTCAAGTAGCGGTGATTCAATATTTAGTATTTGACCATTTTCTTTACATATTCCTATAGAGTTTCGGCCAATAACTATACAACTAAACTCATCTCTTCCAACTAAAAATATAGATCATAAGCGTCAAATAATAATTTCATGAGATTGTTTTACTCGGAATAAGAAATGATGCTTCCGAGTTTGTTATTTTTTCTTTCCAACTTAATCTTGATAACACACGTTCTTTTAAGTCGATTTCATATGTATGTAAAAAATATTCTTCGGGTTCAGTGTCACTCAGATAGTACCATTCTGGTTTACGCTAATTAATAACAAAGAAAAAAAATGCTATTTATTATACAAGAAAATTAGTGAATCATAATTTACTGTATGTAAAATTATAAATGTTGGTTTTTGATGATCAGTTAAAAATTGGATATCGATTATATTTTGTTCATCAATTCTAAAATTAAGGTTTTTCATATTTTGTTGAAATAGAAAAACGAGTCAAGAGGTATCGACATACTTGATATTATAGGCTTCTAGAGTTTTTGATACAGTTTCTTGAGAAGATAAATCTTTGAGATAAATAACTTTTATAACTCCTTCTAATAGACGCAATAAAATAAGTCCATGTTTTGTGTCAATGGTACATATAGGCGATCGAATTGAACGTCGGCCAGTATCCTGAAATATAATTTATTGTAGAACAGAAGATAAAAGTACCAAAATTTTCAACTCTCTATTTCAAGTATGATCTTTCAAAATATTTATAGTTATGGATTTCATCATTATCATTGGGTACACAAAAATATTAGTTTAAAATGCCTACTTATACAATGGATTTGTAGTCTTACACTAATTTCAAGGAGAATACCTTTAATAAACCATGATATTTTGTTAATATTTCATATTGATCGTTGTCAGCTTTTCGACAATCTAATATCATTCCATGATTTTTTTCAGTCAAAATGAACACAACATCTTTGTTCATGTTCTAATTTAAAATGAAATAAATAGAATATTATTATTATTAATTGTTCTTTTTTGTCTTATTTACAGATAAACGAAAGCATTTGAGTATATTGATTCTACCATAGAGACAAACATCTTTGACTAGTTTAAGACCCTCCGAGCCAATAATATAGATTTCAAAATGTGTATTTTTAGCAACAATTAAATTGAATTCATTTGGCGATGTAAAATAGCCTGTTGCAAGTGCTGTTACAAGCGTAGGCCGCTGAACTGTAACAACATAATTCGTCGCAGCCATCTTACAATACGTAGAAAAGGCTTGATTATCGTTCCAGTTGTTAGAAAACGAGTTATATCTATCATTTTGTACAGATGGACGATATTTTCTCTGATTGGTTCATTGACGTAAACCAATGAAGAATGTTGATTAGATGGCACTGCTGTCAATGTTGCTTAGAAACGTGTCTAAGATTAAACGTTTATAATGGAATATAACACAATTTTATTTTTTCGTTAGAATCAAACAAAATGGCTTCAAGCACAATTCCAACACATTATCCACAACTTGTCGATCCAACACGAACACCACTTGCATTTCTCAATCGAGCAGTTCCTCGTTTGGTGAGTTAAATACATTTTAGGATGTGAAAACACTGTTGTTAGGAAGTTAATTAACAATTTAGATCTTCGAGAAATTACTAATACTGCAAGTAGACAGCATAGTCCTTTGTTAGAATCTTAAAATACAAGCGATTTTTAAAAACCATTTCGATAATCGGTATAGATGCAATGACTATTTATATCTTCTTGAAATTGAAATTCATTTATAGAAAATATTTTCTATTCTTTTCAGAATCGAGAACTACAAAGTGACAATCTTTTACTGCGTCAACGTGCAGTACGATCATTATGTGATTATCTTCATGATCCCGAACATATACTACCATGTCTTAATGAAGGTTATTTATTTAAAATTTCTCAACTGAAATCATTATCCTTTTTCATTTATTTCAAGATATCCCAGCTACTCTACTTGATTTACTCAAAGATACTGATCAATTTTGTCGTTTAAAATCTGCTGAATGCTATTATGTTATCGCAGGTAAATAATATTTTCACAGAATAAGAAACATTTTCTATAGTAAATTTCAAATCAAAGGTCATTCTATTGGTCGCCAAGCAATGCTCGCTTGTAATGTTATTCCGCGTTTAGCTAGTTTATTCGACGATAAAGAGCCATCAGTTAGACGAAATGCTCATAAAGCTGTATCCATGTATAGTGAAGCACCACCTGGTATATATATTATTTGATATTATATTAATATTAATAAGCGTTTATTTTTCTAGGTGCACAAAATCTCATTGAAATTCATCTTGTCGATACACTTCTGAAGAAATTAATTAGCGAACTCGACGAAATAAAAGTAAAATGCACACTAAAAACTTAAGACATACAGTATTTTCGACTTTTGCCATAATCAGTCAGAATCAAAATGGTTTGCTATCAGAGTTTCAGCCTAAAGATTTACTTGAACAAGTAAGAAAAAGCATTATGGAATGAAGTCCGATCTTTTGCAGCTCTCAGCATTGTTTACCCATCGAACTGTACTCATTGTAAACAAGACCCTACAGCAAAGAATAGTGAAATCATGTAAACTTTTATAAAAATCAATAGAAAAAGAAATTCTTTTTGCCTATGGCATAGGGAATGTCATTTGTTGACCTTACAGAACTCGAGTCCAATACTTCGTCTATTTGAAAAACATTTTCGATTTCATTCTTACAAGTCTTCACTTCTTCAAGATCGATTATTCAAACTTGTTCATACTTGACTAAGCAACTATTTTTAAATAAGAAACGTCGAAAATATTTCGTTTCTAAACTTTTTCTTACCACCTTGCCTCAACTAACAGATAATAATTTCTTTTAAATAGGAATTGATTTTAAATACTATTCATTTTTGTTTAATGGTTGATGTTGAACAAGCACTTGCCGCTGACGCTATGTCAACTTTAACATCATTACTTAAACATCCATCTGATAAAATAAAAACACTTGCAGCATTAACAATATTTCATTTAAGGTTTGAATTCATTTCAAAGTTTAACTTAACTTAAATTCCATTGATACTTCGTTTTTCAGTGTTTCACTCAAAGGTAAAGAACGTGCTGTCGAAATCGGTACAGTTGATGAGTTAGTTGCTTTACTTGATTCAAATGATGATGCACTGAAGAGTAAATCGGCACTTGCTCTTTCAATGTATGTTGATAGAATCCAATTTTAGCTTCCTTTTTTTTAAATTCAATTTTTGTTTGTCCCTTTTTTCTAGCATTTGTATTATTACGCCAGGAAAATACTGTACAATTAAAGCCGGTGCTATACCAAAACTGTTAGCTATGCTTAAAAAAGAATCAACTGAATTAGTTGTTAACGCACTTAAAGTAAATTTCTTTTTTGGATATAAATTAACAAAAACTTTTATTTCTATTATAGGTTATTGCATGCATAGCTGAAGCACCGGAAGGAAGAAAAAAACTGCTTGAATCTGTTGATCAAGTATATGAATTGACTTTCATATTCAAAATTATTTTCTATTTTCTCTTTTTAGATTGACCGATACATTGATCATCGATTACCTAACTTAGCAAAACATGCACAAATTGCTTCGAAAGTTATTAAATGGATGCCTTAAATAAATAAAAGAAACTTTATTTTATCCATTTGATTATTTTCTCGTCTTCTTTTTTTTTCTAAATATATAATAAATAATATCATCAAATTACAGATTTTATCGTTGAATTCCGTAATAGAAATTTTCCTCGGCTTGAATTTGAATTTCATCGAACATCATGTTCGTAAAAAAGCCAAACATCCTTCATCAAACATTATAAATCTCAGATGAATTTCTCGTACGATTCTTCTTGTATTTTATTTCACTTGTCAATATACGTGATATTGTTCCCTATATATCGCTTCTGTGTATATCGGCAATATTCATTCGTTTTTCGATAAATTAGCTTTTAGATCAGATAGATTTTTTCGTTTGTACAATTATGCAATCATAACTTTCGTATTTCAGCTCAAAATAATTGAGTTCGATTCTTCACTTAGATAAGAACATAAAGAATATCTATAGCTAATCATTATTCACTTATCTCTTTATGAACAATAAAACATGTAGCTATATGCATATACAAAAATGCTTCGATACTAGTCCATTTATATCAAATAATAAAACAAAATATATTTGATAATCAACTCGAACGATACACCATGTAATATTTACTGAATCAATGCAAGACAAAGAGAATAAAATCACTTCAGTATGGATCATTAAAATTATCACAAGGTACCAATAATCTTAAATTTGTTTCAAACACTTGAGACTAAACTACTCAGTCAATTATCATTACATTAAATTTCTTTACACTTGCCAAAATAAAATTTCTCGCCGAGAACGATGATTGGTTGTAACAGCAAAAAAAAAGGCTACACATTCGATTTGTGATTATAATAAGACACCTCAAAGGCACTGTGACAAATCAATCGAGCACGAAAAAAGAAAAACCTTGTTTGGTCTTATTGTATATGTGTATTTACAGGCAACTTCATCCGGCGGCTGTGTATATTTGTTTGATGCAGTGCTTCATTTTCTTTTTTACTATTTCTAACAAGTAATGATCCGTTCCCATCTTATACACTTTCTACGGTATCGTATTAAATAAAATAAAACAAAAATCACAAAAATGACTTACGAGACACGTTCTTTGATCGAAAATATATTTTAAGATGGCACGTGAACTTTCTTTGATCTCCTATTTCTCTATCGAGAACAGAAGAAGAATAAAAACGAAAAAAAAAGGAAAGGTAATCAGTCATCAATTCTAATCGCTGCTCTTGACCACTAACAAACAAAAATTCTCAATTTGTTCACATCTTATCACAAAAGCGTCATTTAGTGCAATGTCTACACACTTGAATATACATTTATCGGTTGAAACTTTTAGTGGCAAAAAACAATTAGAAATATAAATACGGATTTCACAGTTGATATCATTTCGTGCAATAAAAATGTGTTCCTTGTTGACTCTTTATTTCTTGTCGTTATCCTCGAGTTTAATCAAGCGTCAATGATGTAAAAAAAAAGAGAAAAGTCGAAAAGCTTAAGCAAGAAAAGATTGTTATCTTTATGAGTAATGACAAGAAAATGAGAATAGTCTATTTATGTGTCAATGGCACAACAAATACAGAAATGAAGGAATCGAGGCGAATAACACCAAGTTACTTTTTCCTACTAACGGAATAATGATCAAGAAGACAAATCAGTATTTGCTCACACTTTTTGAGGATGCTATGCATACAATAATTGATTGCATATTTTTTTTTTGTGTATGTCTTTCTCTCTGTCTCCCCCTTACTTTCACCTGTATGTAATATCGCCTACCAGTCATTATTTCTTTTTTTCTTTCTTTTTCTCATTCGGCGTTTTTATTCGTCCAATTGGTTTCGTTACAGTCAACTTCATTCTTATTGGCTCTCAACGGTATATTTCGATAACATAAAACGAATTCATACACTACACGTTTTGATAGAGAGAGAGAGAGAGAGAGAGAGAAAAAGGGAGGAAAAAAGCGCGACAAACAACCGAGGTGAAGCGTGAAGCTCTTGTACACTTGACAAAGCGAATATTTCGACAGATTTATACATACACATGCGTATGGGTTTTCGACCTCTTGTTAATTTATCAGCGCCACTTGGTGCTAATATCAATTCAATATTTTCAACAGCAACGACTCGACCGTTTATTAATCCATTTCTTAATCAGTCACCCTATCCAATCGACAACAATCATTCACAGCAGCAGCAACAACAACAACGGTATACACCACCATCATCACAGTCGCAACAGCAAAAAGGCGATAATAACGATGACGATGATTCCGATCTTAAAGTTGAATTAGAAAACAAACAATTATGGGATGCATTTCATTCACATGGAACTGAAATGGTAAAATCATAAGATTTTATTTCATTTGAAAAACATAAATTCTTTTGCTTTAGGTTATTACAAAAAGTGGCCGGTAAGATACCCATATAGAAAAAAAAAATGCTAATCCATTCGAAATCTATTTATTTTTATTAGACGAATATTTCCTGCATTTAAAGTGAAAGTAACTGGCTTGAATCCTCAAGCCAAATATGTCTTTTTAATGGACATTCAAACGGCCGATTCTCATAGGTATAAATTTCATAATTCAAAATGGATGATTGCCGGTAATGCCGATCCTGAAATGTCTA